TTTCCAAATTACTATTATTATGATTTGTCTTTATATAAAAAAAATCCCAATTTCAATTTATGGTTATATTGAATGGAACTATTAAGCCAGTTATAATTGAATTCATTGAGGATGGCTTATCAACAATTGATCCCTATTTTTATTCTCAATAAAAATCTTTATATTCTATCGAGTTTTTTTTAATTATTAAAATGACTATTACTATTTTGATTATTATTATTATTCTCTTTGTTGCTATGGTGACAAGTAATTTAACATCTCCCTTTGTATATTTTTTTTCAATTATTTTATAAAAAGAAAAAAGAGGAAAAAAAACAAACATTGATGACAATTTTTTTTATTGAAATAAAACAAGAAATATAATTCTCACTTTTGTATTCGTATGAAAGAGATGATGAAGATGATGGTATATTCACTATTGATAGTCTGGAATACCTCCTGAATGAATGTTTAATGTTAGCATGGGATTCTTCATCAGTGTTGATTATTCATCACTATTTGAGTCTTAAGTGAGAATACTTATTCTCTAGAATGAATAAGCTGGAATCCATTGATGTTGTTATTATTATCAATGTCTCATTTCAATCAATTCCTATTGGGAGGAAGAGGATATTCAGGACTTCTAGGTCTATATATTTGTAATCTAACTAAGATCAGTTGATGATGTTAAATGTGAAAACTATTTTCTATGTCTCAGTTGTTGACAAGTATCCTTATCGTTCGTCATTAGTATCTAATCGTTTCCTTATTAGATATTGTATATATATATATATATATATATATATATATATATATATATATATATATATATATATGTTAAGTGGTTGGAATGATTCTACAGACAATCCTCATTGGATATAGATTTTGAGCTAATCAATACTCATCTCTACAAAGCTTACTTGTGATTGTCGGACTCGAACACTTTCCGGTCTACTTTAACAGATTAAGACATTACTATTTAAACTAAATTTAAGTGAGTAATTTGTGTCATATTTATTTACAATGGGTCGGTTGAAGCTAGACCACCATGGAAAACCTGGAGGCACTGGACGGCGTTTCGTCCTACCGTGGGACTCCTCAGTAGTGCGCATCCACGACCTCACCCTCCTGCGAGATTCGAACCCGGGACCTATCGGTCTCACACGCGAACACTGAACCACTAGATCACTGAGCGGGCATGCAACGGATATACCTCTTGAAGACAGTCACTAGTGAGCATATGTTGATTAGTATCAGAAGAGGTTTTTGTGAATAATATAGTAATTTCAATGGTTAAGATCATGAGTTTTATTTATTCCTTAGTTACCTTCAAATTCTATTGATCAATTTGTAGTCAGTATTCTCATTAGTCTTGTCATAACGACTTGTCATTCGATACATGATATTGATTTGTTAGATAGTTAAAGATATTGACTGGAACCAGTGAATCAATAAACAGAATGAACATAGATCAAGTGATAATTACAATTGTGAGTCGAAGTGATTGATGGTTATGTTTGTTTGTTTGTTTGTTTGTTTGTTTGTTTAATCTGTTTAGTGCTTATTTAGTTTTATCGATCAATGTACGTTCTAATCTCATAATGCAAAATCATTCCTCTTTCAATTAATAGATCTCAAGTACGAAGAAAAAAAAGATGAAACTGAGACTTTGATTCACGAAGTCATCTAGTATGAGGTGATACAGTTTAGCCCGAAGTCGACAGTACAGATATATACTTAGATGAAGATATATGTAGTATCATCCTGATATATACAATAGAAAGGGGTTCAGTAAAGTATTAAATATAGTTAAATAGAATATTCCAAGTTGACAACAAGATTTAAAATCAATACTCTTGTCATTGTATCCATGTTGACTGATTTTAATCGAACTGTTTCAACAGTCATTTTATTTGGATGTTTGTGAAATACAATACTCCTCATAGAGGAGCATAGGTCGACCATAGGTCCAACCCTGTCCTGAGAAATCCTTCTTTCCAATTGCTTTTCATGCTTTTCATGTCTACTTCCGATTCCCAACGTAATGTGTTCTTTGGCCTTCCTCTTTTCCGCCTTCCTTCAGGATTCCAAGTCAGGGCTTGTCTCGTGATGCAGTTTGGTCATTTCCATAATGTATGTCTTATCCATTTCCAACGTCTTATCCTAATTTCCTTTACAGTTGGAACATGGTTTGTTCTCTCTCACAGTAGGCTGTTGCTAATGATATCCGGCCAATGGATGTTGAGTATCTTGCGTAGACAACTATTTATAAATACTTGAACCTTCTTGATGATGGTTGTGGTAGTTCTCCAAGTTTCAGCTTCGTACAATAGCATTGTCTTGACGTTCATATTATTATTGGTTCACAGACAGCTTTTGTGAGTTCCATATGTTCTTCAATTGAAGGAATGCTCTGCTAATCCTCGCCTTTACGTCTGCATGCGATCCTCCTTCCCAGGCATACATATTTTCTTATATTTTGGGTTGCTTCTTGTAAATCACTTGTTCATCCCACATGAATTCTAAGTGATTGACAACTAGATAAAATCTAACAAGGTCATAATCGTCAGTATAGAACATTTTCGTTACAATCAGAATGGGGTTTTAGAGATGATGACTTAGTTTTTGATTGAGATCATTAACCGATTGATGTTAGACCACCATTCAAAGTCTGGAAGAACTGGATGACCTTTTCGGCCTATTGTGAGACTCCTCATCAATGAGAATCTACGATTCATTACAAGACTGACTTTGACATTGGGTAATATTGATTCAGTTCCCTTATTATTGAAAATAGCGTTTGATACAAAGCATAAACTGAAATAAAACTTTAATCAAATGACGGTAACTTCAAATTATTCAACGTCACAGATTCTTTGTAGGTCAAACTAGAATCAAGGATACATTTCCACTTCTAATTTAAACTTCAAAATGAAGCTTAAAATCAATACTTATCACTGTGTACGTTAAAATATTATTCACTAGGTGATTCATTTGCATTAGTTACTATGTAACCAGAGATTAGGATCAATGATCATAAGCACCCAATATTATGACTATTGTAGTCAACAAACACTCAGGTGGGGAGAACCAATTCATTCTTTAATACAAAATTACCAAGTTCTTTCATTAAACGTGAAAACCATACATCAAATACTTCATTTGTAAATCCACCATTCATAGTTCCTTCATTGCTATTATACTAATACTCTCTGTTTACATTCCCGTTCTCTTCTATTCGATCTTCTCAACCTTCTACTGCTAGGCATTCTACTTCTGATTGATGCTATATACTACGTATGTATGTCGTTATAAATAGCATACACCACACTACTACTAATACTACTGACAATAATAACGATCATAGCAGAATCTAACCAAGAACTATTTATAAGTAGTATCGATACATTGGATCAAGTAGCTTATATGTTTGTTAATCATGTTTCTAATTGAACAAATTGTGTTTATGATGAATTCATACTCTAAACTTTGTTTTAGTATCTGATGTTATTGGCATACTCTTAATCGGTTGAAATCATGAGTCAATTGAAGCTAGACCACCATGGAAAACTTGGAAACACTGGAGTTAAACCAAGTCTGTTGTGAGATATCAACTCATTGCCGGGTCAGGGGGCTAGTTGGTTAAGCGCCTGGCGCGAGACGGATAGGTACTGGGCTCGAATCTCGCGGGGGCGTGGTCGTGGATGCGCACTGCTGAGGAGTCCCACTCTAGAACGAAACGGTCGTCCAATGCTTCCAGGTTTCCAATGGTGGTCTAGCTTCAATGGACTCACGATTTCAACCAGTGAAATTTCTAAAATCTCCACAAAACCCATTCTGATACTCTTAATTGGTTGAAGATTATAAGTGACCTATAAAAAAACCACTCCTTCCCATTTCCTCCCCCCCCCAGTAACATTAAATCATGTTTATTTTCCTGTCAATATTTTTATGCGAAATGTTAATCTGTTACGTAAAAACAACCTAGTCTGTCGGTTAGCTGGCTATTGATAACGGTTCAATTATGGAGACAGAGGAATCCCGTTAGTAATTCGTTCTCTTTAGGAATCATTGCCCAGCCAAATCCTATGACTAAATTTCATCTATCGATCAGTATTCGTTTCATTCATTTAACGGCGGAAAATTTCCTTGTCAAAACCTGAAAATCCTAACTCATTACAATTACTATTGATTGAATATACCTGTTATCTAATTCAATACAGATGTGTGTCCAGTTTTATCCTACTGGTTGAGTCAGCAGTTTATAAAATGGAACCTATAACCTAATCATAACCAATGGGATCTTCTTATTATTGAATTTCTATGAAATCATGAACCGATCAATGATAGTCTTCAACTGAAAACCTGGAAGTACTGGATGACCGTTTCGTCGTACTAGTGAATAATCAAGTGTTGCACATTCAGGGCCCCACACGTGGATCAAACACAGGATATGATGTTCTGTGTTTGAACTTCTATGCCACTTAGGTGGCATAGATCCCGGCTCAATGGTCTTGAGGTTGAGTGTTCTTACACGAAACCATGAGCCCTGGGCTCAATCTATAGTTGTGGGGTCGTAGACGAGCTTTCCTTGAGAGTTCAATAGTATGACGAAACAACCTTCAAGTATTTCTAGGTTTTAAGTGAAAGTCTAACTCAGATCAGTTCATGATTTTAAAGAAAACAATATATTACTTGTTAAAGTCAAATATCTCTATAAGCTGTTCACCAGCAAAAAAAAATAGAAGGAAGTTCGAACCGTTGAACTCAGTGATTTGAATCCTAAACTCTTCAACTAATTGTATATAGCAGATAGGATAACTGATATCATCAATACTTCACTTTTTTCAGTATTACAAGATTACACTTATATAACATAATTTATAACTCCACCTGTAGTCCCTCTGAAGCTATTGTCGGTTCCAAGCCCGGATAAACGAGGACAGTTGAGCATGGGGTTAACAACCTTATCCCGGAGAAAACTAACCCGCTGAAAAAAACGCTAACCAGAAAATAATAAGTCAAATAACATACTTTATAATATCAAATAATACATAGTTGAATTAGAATTAGAATTTTCTTGACATTGATAGCATCACCCTTCATCATGTAACTATATTAACAGTTCTGTGGATTGATTACATATTGCTTGTATTAAATAGAAAGAGTAATTGATTGAACAAAATAGTTGAAAAGCACCTAAGTTAGGAAGAAGAAGAAGAAGAAAAAGAGAAAGGAAATCAGAATGGAATGATCGGATGAAAGATTTTTATGGTCAGTCAGTCAGCTACAACGTAGGACCAGGCACATATACGCATCGGTCCAAGTTGCCATACCACATCAGCACAACAAGATTGTGTGTAAGGACATAGTAAAGAACGAAAGAATTAGTTCGTAGAAAGAAAGGAAGAGTGTATATACCTACGCCATTCTGATCGATTCTGAGTCATATCACACACAGTCTCCAACCATTGGTTACAATAGTCACGTGGACCCCAACCAAGTAGTTCGCATCTACCAACATGGCTCATACCAGAAGTTAATGGTCTCAAGTACTGATGCCACGTTTTGGTTTGACCATCCCTAACTTTCTTTCAACCATCCTCCAACACAAATCATCATTGAGCGTCTTGGTAATCCGTTCTCAGGTATACACAACACGTGGCCCAACCATCTCATTCGATGAAGATTTACAACCTCATCAACTGATTTACCAACATTCCCTCATACTCTGCGTCTAACCTCACTATTATTTACCCGGTGGTTCCAACAGATGCCAACAATATTTATTTTTTAATGGCTATTAATCCGACTCAAATCAGGTTGGATTTGATTGCTATTGAAATATTCACCAATCCTCATGTATAATCATTGACTTGACTCGCGTTAGTGAATAAGGGAATTAAAAAAACCAAATGTGAGAATGGATGCTTGAATACTTATACTTTGTACACTCAATGATCTGGACAGACAATCAGAGGGACGAAGCGAAGAAATCGAAGAAAAAGGGGAACGAAGAGAAGAGAACGAAACGAAATGATGTGCGGTGAAGATGGTGTGAGTCAATTCCATTTCATCAGGCGTTGATCAATAAAAATAAGTTACAGACATGTGATGAATAGAATGAAAAGTGTATACACATACCCTTACATGAGTACAGTCAAAGTTGATAAGCGAATGATTGGCAAGGTCAAAATATGACTCAAGAAGAATGAATAAACTGACTTATCCGGAAACCGGAAGAAGCTATGTGGTCTTGACATAGTAACCGACACTACAATTTACAACTTAACTATAAATTGAAAGCTGTTTGTTAGACACATTATAGATTATCTTGCAACAAAGAAAACGATGCAAATGTGAGATGGATATTAAATTGAGGAAAAAGATTGACATAGTTTGTAAACTGAAGTTAGTTATTTTGAAATTCCTTTGGAAAGCTGTAGCAGACAGAGATAGACAATATTTCATCAATGATATCAGCTCAACATTGTTCAATACTTCAAGTTGATTGAAACGTATCCATGTTTACTAACTGATGTACAAGTTCCGGGTTTTAATTCCCCGTCAAACTGTATTTACATATTGCTGTGAATTATTGGGCTATGACATAACAAGTTCATTTCAAGCATTATTACCAAATATGATGGAAACACGTAGGTAACTTTATGAACATTCGTTGGTTGGATCAACCAGAACTCATTTCGCTTCGACAAGCGTTTTAAAAGTTAAATTCACTAGTCAATATAAGCTAGACCACCATTGAAAACATGGAAGCACTGGATAGTCATCTTGTTCTGGCAGTATGAGACTCCTCAACAGTGCACATCCACAATCCTAAACACAGAACTCGAACTGAGGACCTTCGTCTTTGTACGCGACTGCTTAACTTCGACTCATGAATTCAACTACTAAAATCACTACAATTTCCAAAAACCTCCGTTCTAATAAAAATGCTTTAAGAGTAAGTGTATTTGATAAGATACATATGAAGAGCTGGAGCGAGAAATTACCATTGATCTAATATTTATATATAAATGTAAACACGTAAATATATGAACTATATCCCTATAGTGATTAGAATACTAGAAATCAGGATTTTAATCCTAAACTGGTCACAATTGTTTATCTACATTAATTATCGTGAGATAATGGAGAAGATTTGTAGCTCAGACGGATAGTTTTGATGAAGTTTTGTTCTCTGAGATGGATGGTTTGGTCAAACCAATGGAAGATACAACGAAAACAAAGAAGTAAATAATGACAAGTTGAAGGTCAACAATAACCAATCAACATCGAAGTCTACAACACAAGCTGTGAACCAAATGTGTAGAGAAATTCGAACACTTCACTTCTATGTGAAATTTGTGTGGCTGATGATGTCGTTCAGCCGAACGATGAAAGCTCCACAACTAAACCATCCACTTCAGTGAACAAAACTCTATCAGAACTATTTACTGTTTCCTGTTATAACCAATTCACTTGGTCTTTAGAAAGTAATAAATATTATATCGGATAAATTTTTCTCGACTTCTGTGAAATTGTATTTCGTTTTATTGACCTGTATTTCATCAGTTAAATGTATAAAGTTTAATTTCATCTAAATACAATTTACGACAAGCAACACATACAAACGTTTATTTTTTGCTTTTTCTTTTAACTACTGAGAATTTATCAGTAGTTTCTGGAGTTAACAGTAATTGTTTAGGATTTTAATTCACCCCACTCCAGTGTCATGGTCACTGACTGACACTGCAACTGAATTATTCAGGCATCTAGTAACATTCTCTGTAAGACTGAGATTTGTACACCTATTGATCAGTATCATATTGTCTTATCATTAGTGATGTTGGAATATTGTAGTTCGAGTTTAAATGTCACAGTATCAGTCAAGATAACATCATACTGTTATCATACTGAAATTCCAAATAGTGATAATCAACCATCGATCATTGTTCATTGGACTAAGTCCACTTAGCATGTATAGACTACCTTGTCGAATTACAATTAACTATTGTTACCTAATGGTTGTAGACATTGAACAACATGATTCGGTCAGCATTGATCGCATTGGGCTACTCTTAAATACTGAGTTTTAAAATTTACCTATACATTTTTGTTCCACGAATTCATTCATTCTTTCCAGGTTCCCTTTCTTACTACTACTCATCCTTTTACAATGGGAAGATACAAGTAAACAACATCAAGTAACTTTTGTTACTAGTTTTGTGGTGTACACTAATACTTATGTGTACAAACTGAAAGTTCTAGGTTCCAGTCCCTCGTGCAGAATCGTGGATTCATACTCTTCTGAGGTATCTCATACTATCAGGACGAAATGGGCATCCAGTACTTCGAAGTTTTCAATGGTGCTTTAGCTTAGGTAAATAAATAAATCATAATAATTCTTAATCATACTGATAGATTTACCTAAAATAAAATATACCTTCAAATGATACCAATATAAAGTATGATTGAAAAAATTTATATATAAAGTGTATTATTCACAGATTGAATCTCTTCTTAATGATTAATTGATTGATCGATTGATTGATTGGTTAGTTGTTGTCAAGGTTAAAGTATATTTGTACTACCTAAAAAAAGAAGGAAACAGAGATTGATTTTATGTGTTAATCAGAGTATACTTTCATTGATTTGACTTTATATTGATCGATATTGATTAGGGAAAGAGTAATTACGATGTGAAGGGAAGAATTCAGCTTAGTGACTGATAGTGTGGTGGATAAGAATACTGGTGGGGCTAATCAAATGTAGTTCATCACAGCATTACAGAATGTCAATCAATTGTATCAAAGTTGATTGTTCTTTTATCATTTCCATACTAATCATTCTCCGTTCTCGTTCTTTTCAATTTGATCTTCTTCATCTTCTACCAACTTCACCTGTAGCTCTTCTAGAGTTACTGCCGGTCCCAAGCCCAGATAAAGGAAGTGGGTTGTGTATGGGGTCTGCGACACCATCCCGTAGAAAACTAACTTGCTAAAAACACTCTAACCAGAAAAATAATTTAAATCACTTAAACTCTGCCCTGGGAGTTAGAAGGTCTTCATTTAGAAGAATTATGACGCTTCATGATGAAAGTCGAATTCTTCGGAAGCCACGAGGCCGATGCCCCCCCTTCATCTTCTACCGTCAGACATTTCACTTTCGGTTGATGATACTTACTACTTATATCTGTCTATATCAGTAGCACACACCACAATAAAACGGGTGGTTTAAAGTAGTTTTTTCACTCCTACGTATACTACTACAATAATACGTTGATATGATAATAAGACTAATCATGTTATATCAGGTTGAGGATTTACAACCCAGAAAACAGGACTAAAGTATAGACTAGAAAATACTTTATTCAATAGAATTGTGGTGCGTGCTACTTATATTGATATAAGTAGTGTATGACGCGAGTTAAAATGTAATGTCTGGCAGCAGAAGATGGGGGAAGATCAAGAAAAGAAGATCGGGAACACAATGCAATTTGTAAGAAAACGCATGAACAATGAAATGTGAGACATTGAATTAATGATTGCAACAGCAACAGTCCAGGTTTATATGATGGATTGATATTTAGCAAATCAACGATTTACTATATAGTTTTTCTATTTTATGAAGTAACTCTGTAATATTGGGCTAACTACAATTCGGTTGTCCATACCTGCGTTCTCCTTCACTACAGAATGACAATCGTTTACTCATAGTGAGTCCACTGTGGAAATCAATAACAGGAAAGGTAACTACATATTTAATAATCCTTAGGCTAAGTACGTGATTATCCAAATTTTGCACTCATTACTAGACATCACTTTCATGGTATACTCTGGTCGTTTTTAATGTAAATAAAAAATTGTGGAATACTGTCATCAACCCAAATGACATTCGTTTTTCGTCCTCTCAATTTTGTAAACAACACCCGGGGTATTATTTGGCAGTGAATTCCAGACTTCCCTGGTAGTGGTTGTATGCATTTGGCCATGCTAGAGCATTTCGAGAGAGAGAGAGAGAGGGAGGGAGAGAACTGTCTCTCCCCACTCTCGGCCGTACCAGGGGTTTTTTTAAAGTCAGTTCATAATGAAAACTATGACAATAAACACCCAAAAAACTTACAGATTTATATCAATATCAATAGTGATAGATATAATGATTTAAGCAATTGTATCTTTCTGTTTATTCTCTGAATTAGTTTGTTCCAATGTTTGAAATGTAACATTTTGTTTAGATTGTTCAGTTTCACGTATAATCCATTCATGATTTAAAGCTTCATTTGGTGTAATTCTTTCATCTGGATCCCATCTATTAGTAGAAGGAAAATAAAGTCCAAATGACAAATTGTAGTTTGTTAATCATAGAACTAAATATCTGAATATACTTGTATTCAAATGTTGATATCAATAGTGCTACTCGAACTCGACACCTTCCGATTGAACCGTCCATATGAATTATCCAGTGAACTTCTGAATTAATATAAGCACCAAATTGTTCAATAGAGATTGAGTTGAGCAAGGAAAGCGTAAACTATTGGTTTAAAGTCTTAGCGTGAATATTTACACTGAAATGTTGAAACATTGAGCTAACAACTTCCAAACCAGTTGAAATATACATCCTGAATTTCGTTACAAGCTACCACAACTTGTGTCTGAAGTCTATCAGTCAGTCAGCAACAATGTAGAACTTCATACCTACGTACATCGGTTAACGTTGCCATAACACATTTACAAAAAGATACAATTATTGATTCAAATCCCATAGTGGTAGAGGTAGTAAAAGTATAATCAGTAATCGGAGAGATTAGGATTTGAAGACTTTATTCAAGGAGTATAATCAAGTGAAATATATTTGTAGAGACGAAAACAGAGAGAGACATGAAAAACTCAGAAGATTAGAATTTGAGGGAACACAAACAGTGGATGCATCTGTGCCATTGCAAACTATGTTGAGTCATGTCACATTCAAGGTCTCTGACCATCGGTTGCTATCGTCTCGCGTATCCAAACCAGGTAGTCTACACCCACCAACATGAATCAGTTCACTTGTCAGTGAATTCATGAATTTGGCCGCCCCTATCTTTCTTCCAACCTACTCCAAAATTATAAAACATCGCAGGTGGGGACAGTCAGTGTTTGGGTATCAGTAACACATATTCCAGCCATCTCAACTGATGAAGTCGCACTATTTCATCAACTGAGTTGTCATCCTTACCTTGTACTCGTCTGTAGTCTATAATAGACGTGATCCATTTTATAATAAAAAGACCCTCTTCAATTGTAGTTCTAAGCATTAACAATATGATGATGAAATCCTATGGTAACAATTCATTAACTCAGTTCAACCCTACTATTTTTTATCGATTTATTTTGATGAGTGAAAGTTTAATTTGCTATTTATGATTTCGATTGATAAATACATACAATCTTAAAAGATTCTTTACACAGAGATTACCTAGTATATTCACAGAGATATATGCACAACGAGATTAATCCACTATACAATGATATCATGTTTTGTAGTTTCCTTGAAATTATGAATCGTTCTAAGTTAGACCATCATCGGAAGACTAGAAGTATTAAATGATTGTATAATCTCATAAATAAATTCCATAGTAGTCTAGAATCACAATCGAACCTAGAGCACTCTGTCCTGTACATGAATGCCTAATCTCTATACAATTAAGCTGGGCATTCAACAGTACTTCTTTCGTATAGAATATTTCAGCTTGAATTAATTCATTTTTAAAGTTTTAAGTCCTCTGTTTGATTTCATTCAATTCACTGTGTAGATGATGTTGAACGACGTGCACAGGAAGGAAAAATGCCTCAAGTCAATAAGATTTTAATGTATTCAGAAATTCGTTGTTTTGTATTCTCTATTCAAAGTCACTTCAAGTTATACTCTGAGTCCCAGAGTGAACATCAACTCTGAGATGCAGGTACATCCAACTGACGAGTCCCAAGAAGGACGAAAACGCGCGTCCTGGATTCCACTGCTAGCCACTATCTATCTTTGCTTATTCTGATGTATGTTCAGCATATATTCTCATTCATTGTAGTCAATGGAATCTACTCTATAAGAGTAAATAAACGGATTGATTTTGTCAAACTAAAAGGTAACTAAGAAGTTCATGTCTAATGCATCCACAGTACTGGATATTATCAAGCCTTAAAGTTGTACGTTCGATTCCTTGTAGGGTATCTTAAGATAGAATTATTGAATCATCATCTCAAATCAAACAGAAATTTATTCATTCCAGGAAATGCTAAATTTTATAGTCTACACTACGGATTGATGTTAAGTAGATGATATTTTTTCAACTACAAATCACTGAACAACTGATTGATTCTTCTATGGGAATCATCTGAAGTGCTTATTTACAGTCCTGTCGAGAATCCAACTCAGAACTGTCAGACTTCACAGCGAACATGTGATGTTATATCCTATTGAAGAATAAATTACGGGTATCTTCGGGGACATATGAGTCGATTAATATTATCTATCAATTCTTATAGTATAACTATTCAATAATTAGATTATGTATATTTATATTCCTCTTATTATAACCTTTATTTTGACTTATATTTTATTATTATACGATTTACTGTCCCTAAATTGTGCTCAGTCTATTGACTACTGCCTCCAACGTTCACAACCACTTTTTGGCTTCATTGTGTATGAATGTTATTTCCTATTTTATGATGAGTTGCGGTCTGTTTGGTTGATATATAAACCCAGTATGATGTCTAAAATAAATGATTCGATTCGATTCGCATCGCATAGTGGAAGCCGGTATTGGTGTCCTGGACTCAAATGGACGAGCTAGGTGGACATAGGACCAATAAGGTCGCTAGGCTGCTCATACCGGTCGAACGTTATTGGTTTTGGCATAGTGCTAAGATTGTATAAGTCGTATTTTGATTGGTGGATAAATCACGTGGTAACTAGTCGGACATAAAGTCATTATATGTAATCTGAATACTAATTATTCAACACTCAATGGTTCCATGTCACACAACTATTCTGTTATACAATCTTACTAGTCTTGGATTTACACTACAATACTAAGAGTTACATCTAGAAATCACTTACTAAAGACAAAATGACAATAATACGACTATCTTATGACTATTCTCTTAAAAAAATAGAGATAATAACAAAATCAACCGATGGTTATATAAGACTCAGTACCAAAATGGATAAAGCGATAACATTTGCAATGAAGGATGACTAGGTTAGAGTCCGATTATGAATAACTCAAGGATTCAAGTATATCTAACTGACAAAATCCAATAAAGATGAAATGAACTACTAACCATCATTCATCTTTACTTATAATCCTTTTCAACTTAATGACAATATCATAGATCCATATATACCAAAAGTCATTGAACAATCTGAAGTCTTAAACATCAATGAGAAAGATTCAAACAATCAATATATAAATTGTACAGATTGAAATCATGAGTCAGTTGAAGCTAGACCACCACTGAAAACCTGGAAGCTCAGTGGTCTAATGGTCAAGTGCTCACGCGCGAAGCCAATAGGTCCTCGGTTCGAATCCCGCGTGGTACGGGGTCGTGGATGCGCACTGCTGAGGAGGCCCATACTAGGACGAAACGGCCGTCCAGTGTTTCCAGGTTTTCAATGGTGGTCTAGCTTCAACTGACTCATGATTTCAATCCGTGAAAATTTCTAAAATCTCCACAAACCCCTTCTGATATAAATTGTAATGGGATAACTTACGTTAAACATTGATTTAATAAATTGATAAATTTTAAATCAACCGTTTTGACTAGATTTTCTATTGTTTCTGTGCCTGGTATACGTTTACGTCCTCGACTATTGGTTAAATATCTTGGTGTACGTTTTGAATCTGAAATAGAAAAGAAACAACAATTTTTGGTTTATTAATTTGTGAATGTGAATCATGATTCTTAGGAGTTTCGATGACATTATCACTGTTAGATGCTGAATTAATCGTATAAAAGTTAAGCGTTCGTGTGTAACATCGAAGGCTCTGGGTTCGATTCCCGTGAGCAGGATCATGAATATTCATTGCTAAGAAGTCCTGTACTACCAAGACGAAACGATCATCTAATGCTTCCAAGTTTTTAATGATAGTTTAGCATCAATCGATTCATGATCTTAATCATAATCGAATTAGTTGAAATAAGATCTTAGGGTGAAAGGAAGGTTAAACTGAATTGAAATGTCACTTAAACAATGACTCTTAGTTGTATAATCAACATTTTTATTCTATTTATTTAAACACATAAACATTGGTACAACGAAGCACCAAATAGATACGCGCCACAATTCGTCATTCGACTTGTGTGAGGGCTGGGATACTATCCGGGTTCCCAAACCGAAGCAGATGGCTTTTTTTAGAGGGCCACACCTGGAGCCTTCGACCTAAAGCTCTGATCCACAAGTCAGTGGAGAAACGTCTGGAGGTACAGTCCCATGCTAGACGGTGATCGACGATTGGTTCATACACCATTTGTTCCTTCAGAATATTGGAGCCCAAGTGCACTATTGATATGGGATCACAGTTTTCCAACTCCCATAGATGAACTGTTCGTGTCCACCAACCCGGTTTTTGTCCTCTCAATTATGTAAACAACAGTAATGCCGCGAGAAGGCAGTGAGCAGGACTTCCCTAACAATGGCTGTATACCCGTGGTCATGTAAGAGCATTTTGAGAAGGACAGTTGACTTTCCCCACTCTCGGCCGTACAAGGGCATTTAGGAGCGGACTAATCAACAATATGCACATCATTTACCTTACACCAAATCGAGTTTCAAATACTGAGTTTGCAAATGTAGATTATTGGGTGTTAATTCAGCAATAAAACGTTATATTTAATTTGATAAAAGTTCATGACTTCATGCCATCTTTAGTTTGAATGTATCTTCACGATCAAGCCTTATGTCTCCATTCTCCACTTCAATAAGTAACACTGTGAAACATTATCAAAAAATCTTCCATGATGTAGTACTACGGTGTATGCTACTTATATTGACAGATATAAGTAGTAGGTAACACCAATTAGAAGTAGAATGCCTGGTATTAGAAGATTGAGAAGATTGAATTGAAGACGACAGGACTATAAACAGAGAGTAATTGTATTGAAATAACGATGAAGCTTATAAGAGGCAACCGAAGGAAGATGTGCAAATGATCTACTCAATGTATGGTTTCCATATTCTAAAAAGATGCTCTTCAATTTTACGTCAAAGAAAAAGTTCTCTATTTCCACTTAAATTCTTTGTTTACTACAGTTCCATAAACATTATCAGAGATTGTAAACAAGGTCAGCGTTTTTCCATGAGTAACTGAAGTTTGAGATATTCCTATTAAAAAAACACGATTCTACACAATTAAAGTATTTTGATGAAGTTTTGTCCTCTGAACTAGGTGGTTTGGGCATAGAGCTTTCACAGTTATCCTGAACGACATCATCAGAACAAACCGTCCAGCTCAGAGAACAAAACTCGATCAAAATCATTCACTTAAGCTACAGATCTTCTCCACCATCACAGTTAAAGTATGTAAACAATAGAATATACCAGTTTAAGATATATGTATTTTCAGTAATACACTTAAGATTACATCATGACTAGTATGGGCTTGTAGAAATGATTGATTGAGATCATGAACCGATTGGTGTTGGACCACCATTGAAAACCTGAAAGCACTAGACCGCCGTTTCATCCTATTGTTTGGATTACTCTGCAGTGCGCATCCATGATCCCGCTAAGGGATTTCTAACCCAAGGCCTTCAGTCTCGCGTGCGAACGCTTAACATCTAAACCACTAAGCCAACTATCACTTGTTTAATAAATATCGATTGTGAACCAATTCCCAATGATACTGAGGAAGTATCTATGTGTATAACTGAAATAAAAGATTAAGACAAAAGCACAACTGAAAGCATTCAAAAATTAATGAAATTGTCTTACCGAAAAATACTCTTCGTCTACTGGCTTTTTCAAGTTGTAATTCAGATGGTAAACCAAGTACTTCCATAATACAAGCCAATTGTTCATTTTCATTTTCTCCAGGAAATAATGGACGACCTGATTATAAATGGATGGTGAGGTGTGGGGGGGGTGGGAAGAACAATAATTGCAGTAATACCAACCATAAATTTAGTAAATAAATTGTTACTAACAAATTTGATATAAGTAGATTATTTGTTTGAAGGGGATTTAGGGTTATTGGTCTTTGTTTCTAGGTTGTATTTGTCATAGATTAGTTACAGTAGCAGTACTCCTGAAAATCAGGGATCACTGAATAAGTATCAAACTCTAGAACTAGACTCCTTAGCGCTTTGCACTTGCCTCTACAAAACTTTATTTAATTTGAACTTTAATAGTTAGCTAAATAGTGAATCGCTTTACAATGATCCCGAAGTTCATATCTAATGTCTTGGCCGGTGTTCAGGCATGTTGGGAGTGAAATATTTGCGACGAATGTGATTAAATGATCATCTTGTTATATCATTTATGGACTGAAGTTCAAATTGCATCTTTCAATATCGACTCGGTGACTGTATTAGCTACATTTTCGTCCCAAGACCTCAAGGATTTGGGTTCTATTCCTGGTTAAGTCGTGCGTGTGCACTTCTGAGTTCTATAATACAAGCGATCAGCTATTTAGCTCTACCTGGTTTCGAAATCGGATCATTTTGTAACAAAAACAACCTATAGATAGATTATTATTGATGAGTCAGATTGAAACTTATGAAAAAAAACACAGCATACTTTCAAGATGTTATGATGCATTTATTTTTTGGGTCGAAGGCCCCCGAATTCCCTGATACGGCTGAGAGTGGGGAGAGTCAGCTCTTCCTCTTCAACTGCTCTCACATGGCCCCAAGCGTATAAAGCTACTGCCAGAGAAGTCCTACTCATTGTCTTCACGCGATGAGGGTGTTGTTTACGGAATTAAAAGGACGAACTGCAAATTTCTGGCGCTTTAACCAGGGTGATGGATACGGAGGATCCACCTAGGGCAGTTGGAAAACCCTTATTCCAAACTAATGATTCACATGGTCTACAGGATCATGCGGGACTGAATGGTGTATGAACCAATTATTGGTCACCGATTACCATTGGATTGCGTCTTCTGACGTTGCTCCACTGGTTGATGGGCATTAGACAATAATCCACCTCAGACAATGGATGAAGTGTTTAACAAGGTGATAGATTGATCGAAGTTTGACATTAACACTGGTGGATGACGGCTCAATGGTCTAGAGGTTAAGCGTTAACGAGTGAGATCGGTAGTCCCTGGTTCGAGTCCTGCATGCGGGATCGCAGATGAGTACTACTTAGGAGTTCCGTGCAAGGCCGAAACAGCTATCTAGTGCTTCCAAGTTGTCAATGGTGGTTTAGCTTAGGTTGACTCGTGAATTCAACTTAGAAAGTATCTGTTTGGTTAATCTCAATGTCAAAACTAGAATCGCTCAACATCATTAGAATAGTTTTACTTCTACCATGGAGTTTGTCGGTAAAGTACAAAGAATATGGATCATTGTTGTCTCTCCTGAAGAAACCAATAGTGTCTATTGAACACAAATATTTAAAACTTATGGTGAAGTGTTCATTACAATAATATATGAGCATCAGAATTTGTGAATAAGGAAACCGAAAAGATTAGTTGGTTCTGACGATACTTGTCCTGATCTACTTCAGTATAGATATCTCAGAGTTCTAATCAGCAGCCATATTTGATGGAGTTTAACCATGTTGGAAATGAGTTAGATCTCACAGATAACACTAAATAACTGTGCTACTGATATCGACAGATATAAGTAGTATGTAATATCAAACGAAAGTGAAATGCCTAGAGGCAGAAGGTTAAGAAGATCAAAGAAAAGAGAAGGAGAACAAGGAATGATTACTGTAGAAATAAAGGAACAGTCAGATCTGAGACGATTGATTTCCTTGAGCTGTTCTGTAATTTTGTGTTCAACTACATTTGGTTGTCCCCACTTGTGCTCTTGTTCACTACACTAGATACCAGCTCATTGATCAAAAAGATATCATGATCATCCAAAAATCTGCATTTCTCGCATTCGACTTAATAGTATGGTAGGAGTATTACTCTGAGTAGAGTTCCTATATGTGATTAAAAATTTAATTAACTGAATGACAACCGTTTAGTTGGCAGTCAATAGAATTGAATGGAATATTTAGCACCTAAACTACTATACTTTAACATAAACACCTTAATAAATGAAGGTTATTTTCCCAGTCCTGAACTGTGTTTATCGATTAAGCATGAAATTATATTCATCGCTTTATGGGTTTTGGAGAGTGCTGTAGGGCGGCCTATGCTCCTCCACAAGGAGTAACAAACGTAAGTAAGTAAGTAAGGTTAGTATCTCTTTTGATGTATCATTATGAGATGAAAGAAGAAAAATACACAATTGATTCAATCATATTTACATCAGTTTTAACCTTACCTGTATATAATTCAGGTAGAATACAACCTAAACTCCACATATCAATTGGTGGACCATAAGATATACCTAATATAATTTCTGGTGCTCTATAAAAACGTGATTGAATATACGTATAGGCTAAAATGTTAAATATAAAATTTAAAAAAATAATGAGGATCACACTTCATCTAATCGATTTGATTGGTTTGAAACAACAACTGATTGTGGAGAAGATTTGTAGCTCGAAGGTGGATGATTTTGATGGAGGTTTGTTCGCTGAACTGGATGTTTTCGTCGTGGAGCTTTCAACAAGAACCAATCAACATCGAGCTGTTCAGATCAAGCTGTGAACTACATGTGTGGAGAAATTCGAACACTTCACTTCTACCTGAAGTTCATGCTGATGATGTCGTTCAGAAGAACAATGAAAGCTCCACGACCAAACCATCCAGTTCAAGGAACAAAACTTCATCAAACACTGATCATATGAATATGATGACTTTAATGAAGAATAATTGACAATTTCATATAAATAATTATCAATATATAAAGTTATTGATGAGTATATTTTGATGAGACTATAATTTATGAACGACCTGTTTGAATATCTAGACTACGTGTTCCTGACATCAACATCACATATGGGAGAAGTGACGACCTTCGATTGTACCAGTTACAAAAGAGCTCAATCAGCGACATCGTATTTTGTTAGAAAAGTAAACACATGAATCCGATGTCGATTGCTGACTGGCGATCACTCATTATGTTATCGTCAGGATAGATGAAGAAATAAGAAATGGGAAATTTGTTGAAATACTTTGTGCTTAAAATTCTATATTGTACTAAATACATAATACTTACTTCACTTACTTTTTTACTTATGCCTGTTACTCCCAAATGGAGCATAGACAGCCGACCAGTATTCTCTAACCCACTCTGTGCCTGGGTCTGAATAAAGCTAATCATAATCAGTATAGTCGATGAGACTATAATTTATGAACGTGCTTTGAACAACGCTAGAATGGCCTTAGAATGGCCAATTACTTACTAAGGTTAAGTGAGGATTAGAGATTAGTGTAAAGAGTTAGGATTATGATTTACAGTTGAACGTTAGGGTTAGGAATAAGTTTTTTTTACATAATCATCATGAAATGACATCAGCAGCTATAATGCCAAAGTGCCATTTAGGCCATTGAATGGATGAATTTTGCGCCAAAATTCAAGATTTTCTATCTTATATTGTAGTCTCGCCATGAGGATTTGAAGATGTTATCCAATGAAATAAATTTGGAAAGATAAAAAATAGGGAACATGGAGAATTCAGAAGATTAGAATTTGGGAGAACACAAAGAGTGGATGCACCTACACCATTGCAAAATATGTTGAGTCATGTCACATTTAGAGTCTTTGACCATCGGTTGCTATCGTCTCGCGTATCCAAACCAGGTAGTCTACACCCACCAACATGAATCAGTTCACTTGTCAGTGAATTCATGAATTTGGCCGCTCTTGTCTTTCTTCCAACCTACTCCTACATCAAAAAACACCGCACGTCGGGACAGTCGGTGTTTGGGTATTGATAAGTCTTGCGGACTGAACGCTATTTTCGTCTCCTAAGCTATTCTGTAACCCTCAAGCTAGAACTATACAGCGACCTGAACAAGAGAGAGAAGACTCAGAGTATGCGAGAAGTAGTTTACTCCATAGGTTCATTTCAATACAGAAAATATAGGGTTTTTATAATATTCTAAATGTCCTTGGGTTGCTAGAAGATTCTGGAATGCTACTAAACATATTGGCAGTGTAGCAGCCAACCAATCAGAGCCTCCGCATGTGGCGTTTCGCTTCCTTGATATTTTTGGCTAAAACTTCAAGTGAACGTTGATTGGATGAAACGTTTCTTAGCGTTTCCTGATGCTTGCTTGTCTTTTGCAAGCAATTTTCTGGATCACCCCAACAGGTATAAGTAACACATGTTCCAGCCATCTCAACTGACGAAGTCGCACTATTTCATCAATTGATTTGCTATCCCTACATAGTACCCGTTTCCTAACAACTGCATTACTTATTCGATGGTTACAGGATATACAAACAATGCTTCAAAGACGCCTAAAGACACTTATAAGTAGTGAATTGTTAATCCATCCCAGTTCTAAATACCTTAGTAGCGCTTACCTAGCTTTAAGATTTTCAAATTTTAATTGGGGATACTTTGTCAATGAACTAAACACGAATAACACTTTGTTTTAACTAAAGTGTTATATGTGCTACTGATATCGACAGATATTAGTAGTATGGATCACCAGTCGAAAATGAAATGTCTGGTGGCAGCAGATTAGGAAGATCAAAGAGACGAGAACGAGAACAAAAGTGGTTGGTGTGGAAATGAAGGAACAATGAATTCTGAGACAATTGATTGACATTTTTCAGAATGATATATTTACTGTATGGTTCTCAGATTTTACTAAGATGTTCTATAATGTATTAAAATACATTCGATTGTCTCCACTTGTGTTCTCATTCACTATAGTAGTATTTCAGTTTTGTTAGCTTGAATGTCAAGTTCCCTTCACTACTTCTTTCTTATGCTTCTTTATGATGATGGGTTATTGTTGAAATGTTTACATGTGATATACGACACTTTATCCAACTTAATAAAGAACTTATATTCATATTAGAATAAGCTAAATCATTTCAATAGTTGAGATCATGAGTCAATTGAAGCTAGACCACCATGGAAAATTTGGAAGCACTGGACAGCCGTCTGGTCCTATTGTGAGTCGAAATTGAGTGACACATCTACCAATGTCATCAGTGAGTTACTATCTCACAACTGACCCGCTTGAACTCCACTGGTCACTGCTTCTCACTGGAACTCCAGGATATATCTGTTGAAGCCACTCACTAGTGAGCATATGTTGATTAGTATCAGAAAGATTAGTTGAAGTTAGACATTAACACTATTGGATGCCCGCCAGCTCAGTGGTCTAGTTGGTTAAGCGCCTGGCGCGGAACTGATAGGCCCTGGTTTTGAATCCCGCGAGGCGGGGTCGTGGATGCGCAATGCTGAGGAGTCCCAAAATAGGACGAAACGGCTGTCCAGTGCTTCCAGATTTTCCACGGTGATCTAGCTTCAATTGACATATGATTTTAATTAGTAAAATTACTACAATCTCTACAAAACCCCTTCTGATACTAATGAATCATAGCAACTATCAATCAATAATTATGACATAATTAATTTTCTTTTTTGACTTACTTTTTTGATTCACAAAACAACTTGAACCAAAATCAATAACTTTTAATTCTGATGGATTATTTAAACCAATAAGAATATTTTCCTAAAATAATCAATCAATAGAAAAATGATTGATTATTCAACAAAATTCTTAAATGATCAAATTAAGATTTCATTTCAATGTCAATAAAGTTGTTGAGACGGTTTCCAAGAAGTACGACAAAGCATGCAGAAGCCCTAGAAAAGTCGAAAAGTTTCATCTAATCAGAACGCAATGAAGCTATGCAATTTCGTTCTCTGACCTGGATGGTTTAGTCATGGAGCTTTTATTGTTCTTCTGAAAGAAATCATCATCAACACAAACTTCAAGGAGAAGTGAAGTGTTCAAATATCTCCATATGTGATTCATAGCTTGTGGAGAAATTCGAACAGTTCATTTCTACCTGACGTTTGTGCTGATAATGTCGTTCAGAAGAACAATAAAAGCTCCACGACTATACCATCCAGCTCAGCGAACAAAACTCCATCAAAATCATCCACCATCCAGCTACAAATCTTCTTCACCATCTCAAAATCATAGGAGCTACGCAATAGCATGCTATTATTGGTCAATAACATAATATGCCTCTTTGCGGATTGGTTGAATTGTAATGTTGATAGAACAAATGCTAATATCTATAAATACCCATGATATTCTGTACATTTTGATTCTTGCCCAACGAATACATTCTCCAGTGTTCTTCTGTTTTGTCATTTGCAACTTGAGAAGGTCCTAGAGTTCGAATGCTCATGTTATACGCGGTATATTAAGAATCTAAGCTTCAACATATAACAAAAATTATACATAGTTACATGACAAAACTGTCTTTGAATTAAGTTGCTTAATAATCATGAAAGGGAGTTATCCGGACAACTTTTATCAACAACATTCAAGAATGTTGTATATCAAATAATCATCGATAATGTGAATCAAGGACAATTCTATAATATTCGATCTGAACACAGTTTTTTTTGAGGAGGGGTTACATCTTGAATAGCTTGAAGATTACTAGTTGGTTACATCATGATCCTTTTCGTATACGACAATAATTATTCACAAAAAGATTACTATTACAGTTTGTCATTTGAAAGATTCTTCAGTTGGGATTAGTATGTGCTCAACTATGACTGAATTTATACTGATCAGAAATAAACCTTGTAATCAATAAATGCACAGCAATTATCTGTATATATATACTTTATAAGAAAAGATGAATGGCGGCTAACAGTGGAATACAGTACCCACGTTTCATCTTATTTGGGACTTGTTAGTTTGATATACCTGCATCCGAGTGTTGATGTTCACTACAGGACTCGAACCAAGTGGATGTATACATTTAGATACTTAAATATAACTAAGCTGATTATTTATGCATTAAAGCATTACAGATTATTATCAGAATAAGGAGATTTAGTAAAGATATCTGTAATTTAATAGTTAAGTTCATGAGTCAATGAAATCTAGATCACCATGGAAAGCCCGGAATCACTGAACGGCAGTTTCGTCTCGTTCTAATATAGGACTGCTCAGCATACCACTGTCTATATTCTACAGGACTTCAATACAACTCAATTCAAGAACACATCATTAGCCACACCAAAAACCGACAACAATCCATCAACAATCATAGTAATAATAAAGGTAAGAGAACATAGAACTTATCTAGTACCTGTTAGACTATCTTATTAGTTTGACAAAGCAAACAATCAATCATTATCATCCTCCCGCACACATCAATCCCATCAAGTAGGAAAAATTGTATTTCTGATATTTTTTGACTTAATGTAAGTCACTATTCTAGAGAAGTGGCTCAGTTTATTGGAAACTATCAAGTCCTACTTTGCCATTGAGACCTACGAAGATATCTTACATTGTTATTGATGAAGAAAAGGAATAGTTATCACAAAATGAATATTCTATGGTATCATGTTTTATCCAAATGTTTGAAAGATTTATAATTTAAACATGTCAGTAATACGATATCTCACAGACATCGGTATTCTATCTAAGCCGGTTTATTTTCATATGCAATTTTTTCATAGGGTCTGATACAAGACGTTTGTGATGACTGTTAAATTTAATAATTTTTAATATGAAATGACTTTAGATTAATAAATATTAAAAAAACGACAAGCAATGGGTATTTGTTTTATCCTTCGAGCAGTGAGCATTCATAATGTCACCAAGAATCGAATCTATGACATTCAGGTCCCTTTCAGAGTGTTCGATCTTCAGATCACTTTGGTACTGTTCAATAGGGTTAAATATCTAGTTTAATCACATGGCAATATTGAATGACCATCTTTTATAGACTTTGATGAATGACTGTTTACCAAACCGACATAGCGAAACTTCGCTTGTCAAAGCTTCTTGTTTAGAATGTATCTTAATGGATGCCTGAAATATATATGATAAATCTGAATGAAGAAATAATTAACCGGTGAAAAAAACCCCGGAAATATTCCATAGTTATACAGGAGAAATTCGATGGAATTCTTTTATATTAAAAAGATCGTTTAACTCAGTAGGTTGATAAGTTTAGTCACAACATATATGTTTCCATACATTATTGATTAAAGTCTTCTTTTTTTTATGGTGATAAAGGAATCTTCTATTTGAACCGAATCATAATTAACTAAATGCCTAAGGATAAAGGTTTTCATTAACCTATAAAGTTTCTCTTATATATTTTAACACATACTTTCGATAAAATGAACAAATTAACATTCTATATTACTATTTTCTGAGAAATTCTAAAAAAATAGTCAAATATTTTTGCTCAACGCGTTAAGGTACTTTTTAAGTTTTAAGTAGTATAAAACTTTTTAAGTAATTTCCTTATCTATAAGGTTACAAGCACTGATAAGTCCTGGGTTCGAATCCCACGTGTCAGGGTCGTGGATGCCTACTGTCACTGAGGAATTCCACAATAGGATGAAACGGCCATCCAGTACTTCGAGATTTTTCATAGTAGTCTAGTTTCAATTAATTCACGATCTCAACTATTACAATATAAACATTGAAATTATATAATTGTAACAGTGTATTAACTTACTGGTTTCAAATCACAATGTATAATACCTTGTTTTCTTAATAAACACAAACAATTGAGTAATTTAATTGTGATTTTTTTCAATGAATGAATTGTGAAACCACGAAAATCATTTTTTCTTAAAAGATCATATAAATTTGAACTGTATAGATATTCAAAAGATAAATAATACATAAGAGAAATTAGTTTACTTAATATAAATGAATTATAATAATGCCTATGAGTTATTCAATTGCAAATCTATTGTTATGTTATGCCCCCCCCCAAATACCTCGGTATGGATGAAGGTGGAGAGAGTTAGCTCTCCCTTTAGAAGTGCTCTCACATGTCATCGCATATACAACCACTGACAGAGAAGTCCTACTCACTACCTTCTCGCGAAAGGGGTGTTGTTTACGAAATTGAGAGGGCAAAAAGAGAATTTCCGGGGCTCTAACCAGGTTGGTGGATATGGAGGATCCATCTAGTAAAGTTGGGAAACCCTCATTCCAAACCAGTAGTGCATATGGACTCTAGTATTCTGCGGGAACAAATGGCGTATGAACCAATTATTGGTCAGCGTTTACCATGGGACTGCATCTCCTGACGTTGCTCCTCTGGCTTATGGACCAGAGCTTTAGGTCAAATGTTCCTGGTGTGGCTCCCTAGGAAAACCAACTGCTTCGGTCTGGGCACCCGGGCAATATCACAACCCACACAAAAATCAAATGACTTGTGTGGCGCATATTTATTCGATGCCCCTTTGTACCAATGTTTATGTGTTCAAATAAATAAGTAAATATATAAAATGATGTATGGTATTACTTCACTGAAGATCAAACGAACAATGTTCACCCATGTGGAGTATGAGGCAGTGAAAGGTCGTTATTCAATATCTTCAGTTAACTCAAGCCAAACAAGTAAGGGATTAAAGTTCACTTCATTGATCTAAAGTTGACACTCGAAATTTCTGTGTTTAATCTCTGGTTGAATTTAAGATATAAATATTTGAAGAGTTCTCTATTAAAATGGAGAAGATACTCAGTATTTCCTAGTTTCCAGTGATACTCTAATTTAATTTAATGAATGAATAGAAAGTCAAGTTTATGATGAAGTTTTGTTCTCTGAGCTGGATGGTTTAGTCATGGAGCTTTCATCGTTCTTCTGAATGATAAACATCATCCAGCTGAGAGAACAAAACTTCATTGAAATCATCCACCTGAGCTACGAATCTTCTTCACCATCTCTAAGTCAAGTTTGTATTTCTGAACGAGTTCTTATTAAAATATCATGACTTACAAGGAAACACTAAGTAGTTCTAAGGAATTATTCATTTACATTTCGAAGATGGAATGTTACGGTAGTCATTACTAGGTTCGATCTTCTAAATGGTCAAATATGTGTATTCATTAAGTTAGGTATAAAACTAGAATATTTCTTCGCCAATGTTTCTATAGTCCCGCTGTTAATATATAAGATGATATTGAAGAAATCCCCACCGGAAGTGGAGATCAAAAATCCAATCCTGATTATCATGAAGATGCCACAGGTATTCGGAGTTTGACAACGCTTTAACTAGTAACACCTTTGAATATGAATCGTACCCACCAAGTGAAATCAAAAGACGGAAGCAAGAAGGTTCGAAAATATATTTGATAGGCTATCAATATATTGAGGATCGTCTGATCTAATCTGGCTAGCGATTGCAGGGGTTGTTGAGCACGGCGTTCCCACTCGTGATCTGGTGCGGATGCATGACCAAGCGCCTTCAGCTACGTGAGTCCATTAAAACGAATGTGGTCAGAATCCAATGTCGAAAACTTACAGAGCTATTTATTTCGGGGATTTATTTACTGCTACAATCAACAACGGAGATAACTGAAACCCTGGGAAATAACAACTTAAACATCATATGTGTGGAACAAGTTAATGGCTTTATAAAATCACAACGTTAAGCTTATGAAGTGAAAAATACCGAATCCGAGTCCCAATATGAATATCAACATCGACACATATATATACATCATCTAGACCATGAGGCCAACTAGACAGTTTTATCTCTTATTTGATGATAACTCAAGGAAAGTTAAAAGATTCTTTGAAGCGTAAGACTTTGGTAGTGCAGCAATCAATAGATATATTGACATTGACCTGATCTATCAACTAATAAGGAAAAAAATTTAAAAAAACGCCAAGGTAACAGATCAGGTCAGAGGCGACAATTATCGAAACAAACGCGTGCACAACGGCCATACATACTTATGGTCGGCAGAATACAAACAATCCGTCAATGATAGAAAAATTCTAATTACTCACTTCTTATAGAAGTGTATGCTGATTATATTATCTAGAGGAACAGGGTAAGATTCACGACCAAACTATCCTGTTCAAAGAATGAAGCACTCTCGAAATCTTCAACCTGAGCTACAAACATACTCTAGTATCAGAAGGGGGTTTTGTGGAGGTTCTAGTAATTTAATAGTTGAATTTATGAGTCAATTAAAGCTAGACCATTATGGGAAACCTGGAAGCACTGAACGGCCGTTTCGTCCTAGTATGGGACTTCTCAGTAGTGTGCGTTGATGATCTCACACGCGGGACTCCAACTTGGGACATTCGGTCTCGCGTGCGAACGCTTGAACTCTAGACTACTGGGTCGGAAATCAACGGTGTTAATGTCTAGCTTCAACCAATCCACGAAATTACACCACCGTCTATTATTGTCTTCAGTGAGTTTATAGCGACTCACGTGCAAATGGGTTTATTCTCATTTAACTCAGTTAAGCCCTTTTGCTAACTTATTTAGCGGACAAAGCCATCCGCACTATAACATTTTATTGTACCCTTATTATTATTTTGTGCTTGTATGAAATACGCATGCTTGAATATTGCTTACGGCCTACGCATTTATTCACTCTGCTAGTCTCACTACTAACCGCTTATTTGATTCGATTACTCATTAATTTCACATGCTATATATATGTCCATGTTATTCATATGGTTGACTCTGCTTTCTCGCTCGCTTGATTGTACTCGATTACTTACATTCGCTCAGTCGCTCGCTTGCCTGTTTGCCGTTCGACACAACTCTTAATGCTCGTTTAATGCATCTGTAATTTTGGACATCTGTGTGTGTGGTCTCGAAATAAACGTAATCCACGCTTCGTATTCGTCTTCTGAATAATATACCGTTGAGGTTAAATAGGACGGTTATCGAGACGAATTGTATACGAAGTTTAAGGGATATATCGAATACCGACCACCACAAGTTACTATCTCATAAAAGACCTAGTTGAACTCCACTGATTACGGCTTCTCACTAGAACTTCAATATCTCAGAATCTTCTAGCCATTTAATAAACTCTCTCACACACACACATACATACATACAAAGAAAAATGGTATAGACAAGTTGACTACTAACTTACCCTAATAAGTCGAAAACAATGCACAAATGATTTCGAAATGTAAAATGATCTCTAATATGTATAATATTATGAATGTTTTTATAATCAGCTTTTTTTAAATTCTCTAAAATGGCTACTTCCACTTGAGCTTGCTGATGAAATCTAAATAATAAAACAAAACATCAGAATGAATATATCAGTAGTATTGAGTGGATTTGAGATAATTATTGAATTGTATGGTTTATATCATTACTTACTTACTCCTGTTAACCATCATGAAGGAGTATAGGCCGCCCACAAGAACGCTCTATTCAACTTTGTACTGGACAATCCTTTCCAGTTATTTCCAGTTGTCATTCATTCGTTTCATGTCTGCTTCCAATTCTTGACGTACTGTGTTCTTCAGCCTTCCTCTTTTCTGTTTCTCTTCACGACTCTAAGTTGGCGTATTCCTTGTGATGCAGTTCCGTGATTTCCATAATCTATGTCCTATCTAATTCCTACGTCCTTTTCTAATTTCCTCTTTAGCTGAGAGTTGGTTTGTTGCTAATGGCCAACGAACATTCAGTATCTTACGTAAACAATTGTTTGGAAATATTTGTACCATCTTGATGATGGTTGTGATAGTTCTCGAAGTTTCAGCTCCGTACAGTAGAACTGTCTTGACGTTGGTATTGAAGATTCTGACTTTGATATTGGCTGACAGTTGTTTTGAGTTTCTCATGTTCTTCAATTGTTGGAATACTGTCCTTGCTTTACTAATCCTTACATTTACGTCTGTATCGGATCATCCTTGTTCATCAATTATGCTACCCAGATACGTGAAAGATTCCACATCTTCTAATTTCTCTATTAATTGTGATTGAGTTGGTGTTCTCCGAATAGTGTTTGAGGATCTTGCTTTCTCTTTGCGTATGTTGAGGCCTACAGATGCAAAAGTTGCTGCCACAGTAGTTGTCTTCATATGCACTTGTTGATGTGTATGGGATAGAAGAGTGAGGCTATCTGCAAATTCCAAATCTCCAAAATGATTCCCAGTTGTTCGTTGTATTCCGTGCTTTCCCTCAGATGTCAAGGTCTTCATAATCCAGTCAATTACCAGAAGAAAGAGAGAGAGGGAGTGCAAGTAACCTTGTCTGACTCCGGTCCTCACGTGAAATACGTCTGTTAGCTGTCAGCTGCACCACATTGCACTGTAGTTCATCGTATGAATTCTCAGGTACACAATAGTGTCAAAGAAGTTTCCATAAGGTTATGAACCAATAATAATTGAAAGCAGGGAAGTATTGAATATTTAACATGTCATTGTATGAAGTTAGTCAACAGTGTGTATTCCCGACCACACAGAGGACTCAATCCTAGACATTTATGATCTTGAAGAGAGAAAGAAAGCTTTACTTTTAAAACTTTATATTAACCTACAGTGACATCATTAAAACAATTACAATCTAGTAGGTATGGACTTGTGGAGATCAATAAAATTCATTGAAATGACTAACCGATTTAAGTAAGATCATCATTGGACAGCTATTTCACCTTTGTATGGGATTGCCTAGCAGTACGCATCCACAACCCACAATCACGAGTTGAACCAATGATTTTCAGTCACATATGCAAATGCCTAACATCTCAATTTTGATCGGTTAATCATTTCAATAAAATTTAACAGTCTCTACAACGTTATATTGAGAAATAGAGTTGTCAAGGCAAGACATTTAAGTAGTATGAGAAGGGAAAGGTGTACCTGGAGTATTGTTGTTGTTGTTGTTGTAATGACAGAGTTATGTCAATAGTAGTAGTAGTCAAGAAATCTAAGTGGAAACATCAACTCTGATAACAAACATAATAAATTGTATGTAGTACGATAGTGTGAATTCATCCATCCATCTCACAATCTTCAATAAGTCTTCAGTATGGTAGTATTATCGAGTGTTCTCTCGATCATTTAATGAATGAGTCTTGTATGTTGGAGTATGATTTTAACTTGAAAATTTAATCCCAAACACTTGCAGGTTTCTACAGATCCGTCTACCATGAACGATCAACGAAACGAATCTCATTACACGAAATAAAAGATACCGATCCATAGAAAGTCCCTGCATAGAATGAAGTCTCTAGTGAAAATCATGCTCTTACGTTCTGCATACACCAACTAAATAAACATAGAACTGTTGGAAAATGCTTGATATTTCACACGTATTAAACATTGGAAAACACATAATGCAAACTCTTCTGTAAATCACGGTCCTCAGTTACAAATGTAGGAGAGAGGAATCTGACATTTCCTTTTTGTATGCTCAATGAAAGTCTGAAATTACAGTTGACCAAAGCTTATTTGATGTAAAATAGGTTGGTATTGTAGGGTCAGTGAAATGCTATTGAGCCTTAGCCAAATGATCTGGCAGTTGGGTCACTGAATATTGAACAGATCATCGATTTGTGTGAAGGTCAAGGACAACCAACACGCATCAATTAATTACACACCATGGACTGGCCCATGAGGTGGTGGTTGCAACTGCTTCCTTGTATCTACCTTTACTAACACATTGCTGTAATTACGTATTTCGTGTTATACGGTCTTCAAAGCAGCCATCCTACCTTGATACGACGAAGAGTTAATCCATGTTAGGTGATGATCACGAGGTGTTACTTTGAAGTTGGCTTTTAGTCACACCATTTCGTCTAACTTGAGTAGGCCCCCAATCATTCGACATGGATCATCTGAGTTAGTGATCTAAAGTATATTTGATTGCATTCTGTAAATGATGTCAAAGGATGAGGTGGACGTTGAGTGTTCTATGTCTATTACATGTTGAAGAGTCGACTATATAATTGACATTTGTTAAACCATGCTGTTAGATACTACCGAATGTGTTGTGACAGTAGCCTTGACAATTGACCTACCTATTTAGCTCTACATGAGCAGGTAAATTGAACATTAGTTTGTCAATATTATCTGTACGATTGTACTATTCTGAAAGTGAACTTATCATATAGGATTCCTTCAAGATGGACAAATTATTTTATCGCATTACTTTTATCACATTAAGTATCTTACCGTTTTTTATTTCGAATAATTTTTATTGCAACTGGAAATCCTGATTTATGATCAATAGCTCGTATCACTCGACCAAATGAACCTTTACCCAAAGTTTCCAATGTTTGAAATCTATAAGCGATATGATCATGGGTTATCTGAAAGAGAGTTAAATTATTACAATATGATAGAATCATATAGCATATGAGACTATTGTTCAGAAAACTTAAAGCATTAAATATGGATTTAATAGTTTAAAGATTAAACTTTCAGCGGTCTTGAGTGCTGTTAGAGGTATGAGGGCGGTTATCACTTTCCGGTTGCCCACACCATAGAAGGATTCTTCTGGAGGCACCTGAAAAAGGAATTGGATTAGAGGTGGTCTTAGTGACCTAAGAGCGTGACCGCAGTGCCTAAGGGACAACTGCTTGAGGTCGGTTACATACGACCTTTTTATGAGTAATTTTCAGGTTAGCTCTGTATTTGTTGAGACCTTAACGCCGGAGACGTATATCCGTGGGATAAGGTGGGGGGGTCGATCTTTTCTAACCCCACCCCTCCTTGTGGGATGGCAGCATCGCTGTTATACCGGTTGTCTGAACGAAACATCTTACTGCCGTTACACCCCTATACAGACAGCAGTATGACTTCGCCTCCGGACCTTGGGTTCGCTGCTTTTAGTCTTACCGCTTTTCAACCGACCTATCTAATATGGTACGACCTTGAAGAACGGTTGTTCCAGCCATTATAGCTCGATTGGTTCATCACGATAAGAAAGCCCGACCACCACATCAAGTTATCAACAATGGTCGAGCTTTAGATGTCCTTATTCAATTCTTCGTATGATTGTGTGTATGTATATTGATGAGGAGTTTCGTAGTAGGATAAAACACTTGTCCCGTGTTTCCTGACATTAAATAACTTTCGCTGTTGTAAAAAATAAGATTCACAACACTTACCTAATTAACTTCGCTTGTTACGTTTCTAGGGTTACTGTCAATCAACTGACAATAATTTTAAACTGATTTCGCACTTATTTCATCTCTGAATAATGTGTGTTAAGCAATTCAAGATTGATAATCTCAAGCCTTATTCTACAGTGCATGGTAATTTTCCCATCGAACTGTCAGGTTACCCTCACAAGTCTATTAATAATGTTGATTTGAAAACATTAGTTCTATTTGGTTGAACTATAATATGGAAGCTTAGCGGATGTCTCCTTAAAGCTTGGAATAAAAATTTTGCGTATCTATGGATCAATAGGAGCGGAGCCTATGTTAGTCCAAGGTAAATCATTACTGATCAAGGCTCGAGGAACTAGGCTGAAGAAAGAGTAGTGGATACGGTTGGAAGAACTATTATCGAAATACTGATTGGAAAACTTACCAGGCGATATCAATCAAATCACTCAGATATAAAAGTAGTCAACATAACAATTTCACTTCGTCTTAGAAAAGTTTCAGCTTGAATATCATTCAAGTTATGGTTGGAAGGGAAAGTCAATATGATTAGTCACTTAATGTGGACAAACAGGCACTCAACTGAATCACCTTTAAATATGTGATTTCTTTACTTCATATTGATTTCTAGTCTGGCCTCATTGAGAATGACTACTTGTAATTGGGTTTAATAGAGTATTGTCTAGCGTTACTCTGATTTATTATTGTGGTCGTGAATCGCGTATCTGATATAATCTGATTCTGTTTTCGTATAGAGGGTCGTTTAGGTATCCAATCTAGTGGTATCATAAAATCAGTCACTCAGATCAGCCTTATTACCACATCAACGTGGTAGCTTAGTACTTCACAGAAAGAAACATTTAAATCCATCCGCTATATCACCAAACTTTGTTAGACATACAGAATCCGCAGAATCTCAAATGCTGGAAAATCAATACGTGTTGATACAGAAACCGAACTGTTGTTCATTAATGTTTACACTAGCTGACTTTGTCATTATAAAGATAGGATAAGTTTCGGAGTAGAATATTGAGATGAGAATTACTACATTCCATAATTGGATTTATGGGTCATCAACGATATCTTGAGTGTTATCAATTTATAACCAGCAATGTTTTAACTATCTCATCTTTCTAAGTATGAAGGAAGAACCATGAGTAAAAATAGGATACAACCTGTATAAAGCAGCTTCTAAACAATCCGGAAAGCATATATATATATATATATATATATATATATATATATATATATATGCTTTCTCCTTCATTTGGTGTCGCTGCCAACCAGGAGGGGAGAGGTGCTGTTCTGCCGACGCCGTTGCGGGCCTGGAGTTGAGGTGCTACTTGGGGCAGTCTGAGGCGGAAAGGTGGCGTCGAGTTGAGTGCTCTGACGGGGCGGCGTTGGCTGTACAGGGTGCTGTCGACGGAGAAGAGTGGTGGGACGTGCGGCTGCTGGGCGGGCATCGGATATAGATGGCTCAGCATGCCGATGGATCACGGGTGTTAAGCATTTCAGATGCCAGGTGGATATCGGATATTGTTGCCCTGGCAGGTCGACGGAGCGACGGAGGTCGGCGCACCGCAGACTCCACATTTTGATGGAGAGCGTATCATAGACTGCAGAAACGAAGAATGTGGCACGGCGAGAGTGAACCACCGCAAGAACGACTGCTTTAGAGGGGGGACAAGTGTGGTGTGTGTGTTACTTATGTTCACATAGGCAGTATACGATGTTAGTCGTGAACAGAATGTCTTCAGAATGTCCTTCACTACAATACGACAACAGTGGATCTATTTCAATATAATTACACATTTATTCAAATTGAGTTTATCACAATAATGTTTGGTTGATATTTCGGTATAGAATGATTCTCATGATCCAACTTCAGTGTTTCACTAAAGCTTTACTGTATTGAATGAGAACACAAAATGACAGAATATCTTAGCAAAATCTGAGAACCCTACAGTAAATACTTCATTTTCAAAATGTAAATCAATTATCTCAGAGTCCATTATTCATTCGTTTCGATAGCAGTCATTCACTGTTCTCGTTTACTTTTCTTCGGTCTTCAATTTCTGCCTCCAGGTATTTCACTTTCGATAGATGATACACACTAATTATGTCTGTCGACATCAGTAGCACACAAAACACTCGTCCCCAATTTAAAACAGTCATTCTTGTGGTGGTTCTGTTCGCCGTGCAACTTTCTTCTTCTCTGTTGTCTCTGCTACGCTATCCGCCAAAATGTTGAGTCTAAGGTCCGCTGACATTCATAGCTCCGTCGACATGCTGAGCCATCTACATCCGATGTCCGCCTAGCAGCCTCACATCTCATTGCTTCTGTCGTTGACAACACCCGCTGTAGCCCTACGCCTTCCTGCCAGAACACTCCGCTCTATGTCACTTTCCTACATTTCAATGTCCCCTTAGAGTTGAGATCATTAGATAGTTACAAATATTATATATATAAATAATCTATATTACATAACATACTTTTAAATAACCACCAGTTTCATCATCATAACCATGATTACTTGGAGATCCTTGAATGGCATCGATTTTTTGTGCAGATAAACCAAGATACCAGATTTTGTTAAAGTTCAATATTTCCTCCCTTTCATATGATGTTAATTTCTTGCCATATATATTTAATGCAGCTGAAATTCATTTAAATATAATGAATAATAATAATAATAATAATAATAAGAGGGTAAAATGTAGATAGAGTTTTGTTTTCTAAATTGAATGGTTTGGTTATTAAACTTTCATTGTTCTTAATTACTTACTTACTTTTGCCTGTCACTCGTAATGGAGCAAAGGCCGCAGACCAGCATTCTCCAAACCACTATGTTCTGGGCCTTCTTTTCTAATTCCATCCAATTCCTGTTCATTTTTCCCATGTCTATCTCCATTTCCCGGCGTAATGTGTTCTTTGGTCTTCCTCTTCTCCTTTGACCTTGAGGATACCAAGTGACGAGGGCTTAACTTGTGACGCAGTTGGATGCTTTCCTCAATGTGTGTCCTAACCACTTCTAGCGCTTCTTCCTGATTTCTTCCTCCACTGGAATCTGGTTTGTTCTTTTCCACAGTAGGTTGTTGCTAATAGTGTCCGGTCAACGGATCCGGAATATTTTGCGTAGACAGCTGTTAATCAAAAATTATTCAAACCTTTAAACTTTCGTTGTTCACCTGAATAATATCATCAGTATAAACTTCAAGTAGAAGTAAAATGTTCAAATTTCTCTACATATATGACTTACAAATTGTCCTGTCAACGTTGATCTTGATTGATTATTGTTGATCTTTAATCTGTCTTTACTATGATTGTTTCTCTTATTGTTTTGATTCTTGATGATTATGTTGTTTATAAGAACAATAAAAGCTCCATGATCAAACTATCCAGATCATAGAACAAAACTCTATTTACGTTATCTATCAGAGATATAAATCTTCTTCACTATCTCAAAATGGAAAGATCTATTAATGATTAAGTGAAGGATATATTTCTAACTTCAGTCAATTGAAAACTAACATCCATTGCTTTAAAAGGACCAAAGGTTTTGCGTTCGGCTCCTGGATGCGTGGTCGATAATATGTACTCATAAATGAATTCATACTAGGACAAAACGGTCACCCAGTTTCTTCAGGTCTTTAATGGAGACCTAGTTTGCAAACGCAACAACAAATGCAGGAGAAGACGACTAACGTGGCAGTAGCCTCAGCAGCAGTAGGTCTCAATATACACAAAGGGAAAAGCAAGATCCTCCGATACAACACAACATACACCAATCTAATCACAATAGACGGAGAAGATTTGGAAGATGTAAAAGCCTTTATATATTTGGGTAGCATCATTAATGAACATGGTGGATTTGGTGCAGATGTGAAAGCGCGGATCGGCAAATCAAGAGCAACATATTTGCAACTGAAGAACATCTAGAACGCGAAACAACTGTTAACCAACACCAAGTTCAGGATTTTCAATACAAATGTCAAGACAGTTCTACTATATGGGGCGAAAACCTGGAGAACTACGAAAGCCATCATCAAGTAGATAAAAGTGTTTATTAATAGTTGTCGACACAAAATACTTCGGATTCATTGGCCGGACACTATTAGCAACAACCTACTATGGGAGAGAACAAACCAGATCCCAGTGGAGGAAGAAATCAGGAAGAAGCGCTGAAAGTGGATAGGACACATAATGAGGAAAACATCGAACTGCATCACAAGGCAAGCCCTCATCACTTGGAATCCTCAAGGTCAAAGGAGAATAGGGAGACCGAAGAACACATTACGCCGGGAAATAGAGATCGACATGAGAAAGATGAACAAGAATTGGATGGAATTAGAAAAGAAGGCCCAGGACGTAGTGGGTTGGAGAATGCTGGTCGGCGGCCTTTGCTCCATTAGGAGTAACAGGCGTAAGTAAATAAGTAAGTTCAGATCAGTTAGTGCTTTAAAATATGAAAATTCTACACTCTCCACAAATCCCTCACACAATAATATTTATTTGTTACACACATTTATTATAATAAAATAAAGCTAGACATTTTTAGTATCAGGATATAAAATGATTGGAGATAGTTTGGGAAACACTTTGTATTGACCGAAGTCCCCTGATAGCTGGAACTCATAACCCAAGTTGTACCTGCTATCTTGAGGAAACTAATGTTATCCCTACTGTGAGATTACAGTCACTTTAAGAAAATATAGTGCATACAATGTCAACTCTGACAAGTTGCCATAGATACAAGTTGATTCATAGACTTTTCAACAACAATGAAAAACTGGGCAAAAATGACATTGGTCAATGTGGTGTGTGCTACTGATGTCGATAGATATAAGTAGTGTGTATCATCAATCGAAAGTTGAATGTCTGATGAAAGAAACTTGAGAAGAGAACAAGAACACAGAGCGATTGGTATAGAAATGAAGGAACAGTGTTGTCTAAGACGATTGATTGACGCTTTGCAAATAAAGTATTTACTGTATGGTTCTCGGATTCTATCAATAGGTTCTGTAATTTTTTTATTCACATACGTGTGGTTGTTCCGAACTTGTGTTCTCGTTCACTACAATCATTAGTGCGTGATCATTCAATTTAGAGATATACATTAATCAAAATTGCAGTTTTACTGAATTTTTAAGATGGTGATCGGAGGTAGTCAAAAGGAAACTCTGAACCTGTTTCGTGCTACTATGCAGTCGTCAGCATGGTGTACCTGTAATCTTGAAGGAACTGATGCTCTCTGACAGATTTGATCCCGTTTTACCCAGCTTCACAGTTAGAGACGTTACCATTGGGTAATAAGAAAGACCTGACACACATGTCACTGATCACCATCTAGTGATCAATCAACTGTCAATACATATCAGTCCTACAGGAAGTCAGTCGCGCCCCGGTTAGCCCAGTGGTAACGTCTCTGACTGAGAAGCTAGGTGAAACGGGATCAAATCCATCAAGATTACAGGTACACCATTCTGATGACTGCCAAGTAGCACGAAACCTAGTTCCAGGGTTTCCTGTTGACTACCTCCAACCAGATCATCTTATCTTTAACATAGTGCACATAATGTCGAGTCACCTAGACTAGTAGCCACATTACAATTTGATCGATAAGATTTGATCTGTACTAAGAAAAGAAGGACCTGACATACATAGTCATTGATCATCATCCAGTGATCAATCAATTATAAACTAAATTTTTAAACATGAAACTACATGAAAAATTCTATTCGTAGTTTGTTTGTATTTTTTGTTCTTTTTTTAGTAAATCACATGGATACATCATGCAGTTTTAACAATATTTTTTTCTTGTTTTAGTTAGTTGGAAAAATCTAGATGATCTAGGAGTTTTTAAGTTGGACTTTGTATTCGTTGAATTAAATGTGGAAATTCACTCAGTATTGTTTAGATGTTGTTTGGAGGTAGTCGACAGGAAACCCTGGACCCGGGTTTCGTGCTACTTGGCATTCGTCAGTAAGGTGTACCTGTAATCTTGAAGGAACTGGTGCTCTCTGGCGAATTCGATCTTGTGTCACCCAGCTTCACAGTCAGAGACATTACCACTGAGCTATCCGAGCCGCAACCGACCTCCCTGTAGGACTGAGATGTAATCACAATTGATTGTTTGTGTTAAATCTTCGCATTGATGTTTAGGATCTCAATCGATCAGTTTCTTATTGGCATATGTGACTATCTCAGGACTTAGTAACTAAGTGGATACCTCGATGGCGTTTGAAAAGAATGATACTGAGTTCAAGTTCTATAGTGAACATCCACTCTGAGATACAGGTATATCCAGCTGACAAGTTTTAAATAAGATGAAGCGTACTTCAAATTTGATCCCACTACTAGTCACTATCCATCACAATTGATTGATCACTGGGTGGTGATCAATAATTGTATATGTCAGGTGACACGGGATTGGATCCGCCAGGGAGCACCAGTTCCCTTAAGATTACAGGTACACCTTGCCGGCAAGTGTTAAGTAGCATGAAACCCGGGTCCAGGGTTTCCTGTCAACTACCTCCAACCACCATCTAGTTACTATCCATATTTGCTTAATAATAATAATCATCATCATCTATATTATTAACTTACTATGTGGTGTCATTGGTATATTAATTTTTCCATTAAATTTTATTAATTCATTATCATTTTGTTGTTGATTATTATTTAATTTTTGTGATTCAATTAATATTGATTTTTCTTTGAATTTATCCCTTATTACATCATCGGTACATAATTGATTACCATTACTATTATTATTATTATTAGTAGTAGTAGTAATAGTAGTATTAGTATTATTATTAGTAGTATGTAATGGTATAATTAATTCACGATTTGAAATATCTTTCAATTGTATTCCATTATCATAATCACTATGATGAGTGCATTGTTGACTATGTTGATATCGTCTTGATGATGATAATGATGGTGTATATTCATTAGGTTGATTGATTTTTAAAGAGAGATTATCCTTTGATTGTTGAATCACATTTGACCCATTCATTATTGTTGTTGTTGTTGTTGTTGTTGCTGGGGCTTTTTCATTTAAATATAATTTAGTATCTGGGTATTTTGTTATAAAATGTTGTGTATTTTGAATCGATAATAATGATGATAAGGATGTATCATTTGTATCTGATTGTAATTGATTGAATTTACATTTGATTGTTTTATTGAAATCATCCATTGAATCATTATTAGATTGTATGAGAGATTTGGTATTTTTAACCTTTTTATTATTACTATTAGTAGTAGTAGTAGTAGTATTAGTAGTATTATTAGTAGTATTAATATTGTGTATTGAAGAAATTCGATTTGAGTTAAGAAGTGAATTATCAATGGAAAATTTAGACTTGGCTTCAGGTAAACTAAAAATTTCAGTTTGTTCCATTGGTCCCGTATCGAATTGACAGTGTAACTTGAAAACAAAAAAACACAACAACAAAGAAACACACAATAATGTCATGAGTATGGCATAACTTCACAGTTTCAAATATTGAGTAGTTGTTATTATTAGAGATGTATGTATAGTTAATCGAGTATGAGATCGAAGGTCCTGAGTTCGAGTCCCTTTCATGAGGGATCATGGATTCGCAGTAATGAGGAGTCGTCCCATAATAAAACGAATTGGTCGTCCAGTGCTTCTAGGTTTTCAATGATGGTCTAACATCAATCGGTTCATGATCTCAATTAAAAAACTTAATAATCTCCACAAACCTATCTTGATGATTACTGGGCAGTTGTTATTGTTAGAAATAATATATTTCTTCGAGTATGGGGCAGAAAACCCTGCGTTCAAATTCCTTTAGTGAGGGATCATGGATGCGCATTCATAAGGAGTCCCATAATAAAATGAATTGGCCGTTCAAAGCTTCCAGCTTTTAAATGATGATCTAGCTTACATCGACTCATGAATTGAACTAATAAAATAAATTATTTCTCTGAAGAAGTGGCTTAAACTGAGTTAAGAAACGTCAGAAAATTATTCGAAAGACTAAACAGTCGGTACATTGGATAATATGGAAGAAGAAATAACAAACTGTTTTGATGAAAGGTCGATATTATTAGTAGTTATGTAACAATCAATAGAGAGACACATGAAAACCTTAATTCTCGTATCGGTTATAAAATAGTTAATTCTTTGATGCTCGGTGAATGTTCACTTTTGTAGACAATTTAATATTGTATCTATAAAGTCACCATTGGACTCTCTTTTGATAGAATTTCTTTTTGTAGAACTGAAAGATGGATTACCTCTTTTGTTACTAAATTTGATACAAAAAAGTCTATATTCCTTATGTGTGGAACATTTGTGAATGATCTTAGTATTATCATAAAAGGGTTTTTATGGATATTACAACACCTTAATAGTTGAGTTCATGAGTTATTTGAGGCTAGATTACCATGGGAAACCTAGAAGCATTGAACGGCCATTACTCCCTAGTATAAGACTCCTCAACAGTGTGTATCCACGATCTTGCACGCGGAATTCAGACCCAGGACCTATTGGTCTCTCGTGCGAACACCTAACGTCTAGACCGTTGACCCGGCATCCAACGGTGTTAATGTCTAACCTCAACCAATCCACGAAATTGCGCCACCATCTTCTATTGTACTGAAGTTTTCAATGGTGGTCTAACATCAATCTCTACAACCCTATACTGATAAACATAGTTTTAATTATTATTTAGTTAAACAATCAGGGAAGTTGACAAGTAGACGGTTTAGATTCTTTATTGAATTAAAACAATGACTTACATTGATACTGGTATCAATCATTTCATCAATGAAATTCATTTAGACATTTTAAAGTTAACTCTCTAACTGTACGTTTTGGATTCATTATCCATAGAATGACGCTTATTGAAGATTTTCAACCTGATGATTTACCGAAATTTGATTCTGGCCATATCCTAACAGTATTAGCTTTAATCGACTAAACTTGTTGAGATATATAATTATATATGCTTCATTATTAGTCAAATCAAAGTACATTATTGATTGGTATAAGGTTTGAGTGGATGAAAGATAAAGGAGAGTAAATCAAAGCGTGAAGTCACTTGTTGACTATTGATTTAAGTCATGGAGGTAAGTAAAGACTGTTTAGTTAGAATTGAGTTAAACGGTTAGAAAAGTTAGATGATATGGCTAATCACAATTGATTACTCACTGGGTGGTGAACGATATCATGTGTGTCAAGTCCTTATTATTAGTGTACATCGAATGCTATCGATCATGTTGTAATGTGGTCACCAGTCTGAGTGACTCAACACTGCGGGCATTATATATTGAGATTAGATGGTGGTTGGAGGTAGTCGACAGGAAACCGTGGCTAAAAATCAGTTCAAATTTGATAGATGTATTCAAACATTATTATCATTAACATCTTGAGTTCAAAAATTTTACTCTTCCATTCTGTGTTTTGTAGCTAAATTCTTAATGTTTAATCTTCCACAACATAATTTATTTCTACTTCTTTGATATTCATTCTATTGAATAGTCCTTTGAAAAAACTTATTTTGACAGTGGTGTTTCTTCGCAGACTGATCTTATTTAAGGTACCAATACAAAAAAACTATAAAATGCTGGATAGTTGTTTTGTCCTGGTAGGGCACTCTTCAACAATTAACTTTCTTGACTCTGTGTTTTATTACTTATTTACGTCTGTTACTCCCAATGGTCATAGGCCTATGACCAGCATTCCTCAAACCACTACGTCATGGGCACTCCTTTCCAGTTTCATCCATTTTTTGTTCATTTTCTTCATGTCTGTTTCTGTTTCTCGACGTGATGTATTCTTTGGTCTTCCTCTTCTCCTTTGACCTTGAGGATACCAAGTGACGAGGGCTTAACTTGTGACGCAGTTGGATGCTTTCCTCAATGTGTGTCCTATCCACTTCCAGCGCTTCTTCCTGATTTCTTCCTCCACTGGAATCTGGTTTGTTCTCTGCCATAGTAGGTTGTTGCTAATAGTGTCCGGCCAATGGATCCGAAGTATTTTGCGTAGACAACTGTTGTGGAACACTTTTATCTACTTGATGATGGCTTTCATAGTTCTCCAGGTTTCCACCCCATACAGTAGAACATATATCTCTATATACAAACAATAAAAAAGACACAACAACTAATTCAATCGATTATAAACTTACCACTTTATTTGATGGTAAATATTGATTAATCAATGGACAATGATTCACTATAGCACTAAATGACATTCCTTTTGATTGTTGTTGTTGTTGTTGTTCTATTCTTCGTCTACCAGGAATAAATGATTTTGTATGATTGAATGCTTTTTCACGAAACCAAAATCCTCCTCCTCGTCCTAATTTATTATGATGATAAGGATTCAGTAAACCCATTTTACGTTTTAATTCTTGATCAGATTTCCAATTTTTCATTGTTAATAAATTCCAATTTGTTGATAAAATTTCATCACATTTTGTACGATTTGAATTCATAGCAACTTTTGGTAACCAACAAGTGGATTGTATTGAATCTTGCCAATGATTATGATGATGATGATGATTATTGATTAATAGATCATTATTATTATTATTACTGATAGATTGATCACGTTGACTATGACATGGATTACTTAGATCATCATCATCATCATCATCATCATGATCATCATCGTTATCATTGTCATTATTACTACTACTTATACATAGATCATGTTGTAATGTTTGTGAATCATTTACATGGATTTCATTAAGTCCTATTAATGGTGGAACTAATTTAGATAGATGTTTTGTTGATGAGATCAAATGATCTGATAGATTGTCAACTGAACTATTCGTTGTAGTAATCGAAGAAGTTGTACCAGCAGTAGTAGTCGTAGTGATATTTATCGATTTCGATTTGTCATTTTGATCAATTTCATAATGAATAGATCGAGTTAATAATGGATTATGATTACTATCAGTGCTGTTAGTAGTAGTAGTAGTAGTAGTAGTATTTAATACTTGTGATTTCGATGTATTCAAATCGGAATTTTGTAATAATAATGATTGTTTTTGATTTCGTTGATACGTCTGATGACGATGTTGTTGTTGTTGAAGACTATTAGTACTATTACTATTACTATTACTGTTACTATGATTCTCCAAAGTGATATATTTTACAAATGAATTCTCTTGTCTATAGGTTGGTAATACATATTTATTCAATGATAAATTATCTTGTGAACGTAATCCCTGGATATATAAATAGAATGAAACAAGAATGATATAAGAGGATGAAATATGTGGAGATTGTTGGTTACTGTGTGCGTGTGTGTGTCTATTTTTAAGTAGCCAAGACTACCAAATACTACCCACATGTATCTATCTATCTATCTATCTATATAGGTGTGTATGCCGTTAGCAACACATAAATGCATACATAGTTTCTCTCATGGGCTATTGGAAACAAACTTAAATTTCATGTTTTTTTTTCTAAGAAGAAAAAAAACTTTCATTTCTTTTTTATATATCAAGTCATGTGAAACTATAAATCACAGGTGCTCCATCTATTCAATAATTAGTCAAACACACATATGTACATAGTAACAAGTACACTATTTAATAGTAGTTATATAAGTAGTATATGCAAAAGTAGTATTTGTTGTTCCAGTTGTTGTTGTTCTTGTTGTCTGAATCACATTTTAATTTATGTATAGTCTAGTGAAATATAAATGATTGCTAATTCTTGATCATTGTGAATTGAGTTAATGGAATTTAATTGAAAATCTAATTATGAAATTCTTTATCGTTCAACAAATATCGATGAGAATACATTCATATTATAGTATTCGATCATAGGTGTTTTTGAAGCATTGTCCATTTATCCTGGGACCATCGATGCATGTTTTATGGTGTAGGAGTATGTTGGAAGAATGATAGGGGCGGCCAGATTAAAACATCACACAAATCCATGAAGTCACTGACAAGTGAACTAAGCCATGTTGGTGGGTGTAGATGACCTGATTAGGATCCGCAAGACGATTACAACTGATGGTTAGAGACCTTGAATGACATGGCTCAAAATCGTTTGTAATGGAGCAGATGTATCCACTCCTTGTGTTCTCTCAAACTCCAATCTTCTGAATTCTTCATATCCCTTTCCTTTTCTTCTTCCCAAATTAATTTCACTGGATTATACTCCATGAATAACATCTTCAAACCCTAATGTTTCCGATTACTGCTTATACACTTACGACCTCTACCACAATTGGATTTGAATCGACCATTGTATCTGTGTGCAAATGTGTTATGGCAACTCGAACTGATGTACGTATATACGTACGGAGTTCTACGTTGTTGCTGACTGATATCCTAGATTTTCCATTCCCAGTCTGATCCCGATCAATTGTTTATTGCATTAAATATCAATTCATTATAAACTCAGCTACTTTTCGAATACAGCTTTCCAATTTCCATATCGCTCAAACCAGCAAAATTAATCGGGGCTATTTACATAGTTTCATATCTATAGCATTATCACCCTTTCGGATATCATATTACTTATGTAAATGAAACAGTGGAATAAGAAAATGTGAATATTTAAACAAATGAAGTATTTCATTTGTTAATAATCTCCACAACTCTAAATATGATGTGCTCACAAGTGACTAACTTCGAGAAGTAATTCTTGGAGATCTAGTGAAACACTATAGTCAATGGAGTTCAATCCATGTCCTTTGTGAGGTAGTTACCCAGTGAAGTTAATCGAAGATAGTCGCACAATATCGTGTATTAGTTGAAGTTAGGTATTAAAACAGTTGAATCGTGGCTCATTCATCTAGAGGTAAAGTGTTCACGTACGAAGCCGAAAGTTCTGGGTTCGAGTCCCTTTAGTGTGGTATCGTGGATAAGCACTTCTAATGGTTCCTATACTAAAATAAAGAGGCCATTCAGTGCTTTCAGGTCTTTAATGATGTTTTAACGTTGATCGACACATGATCTCAGTTAAAAATCAGCAATCTCCACAATCCTATACTCATCATTTTCGTTGTACCTAATGATCATGAATAAAATCTCTTGTAATGGATTTTAGATTAAATACTTTTCTAAAATCTCAATGATTCTTCCCGTTTATATCTTCAGATTAGTGGTAAGAACTACCTGACTTTCGTAATGTGCTATGATGTACAATCCGATTTAGTCATGATGTAGTGGACGAAAACTCAGGTGTGAAAAATCAATTTACCGTCTAATGTGGATTCACACACAGCGGCATAATAAAATATGAAACTCATACATTAAATACATCGTTTGCGAAGTTTCTATGCGTTACTCTTTACATGCTCCATTTTTCCTCTAATTCTGCTGTAATTTTGATTATTCACTGTTTTCCTCCCTGTTCTCTCCATTTCTTCTTCTTCCAGGCATTCCACTTTCGATTGGTGCTACGTACTACTGATATCTGTCAGTATAAGTAGCATACACCACAATAATATATGAATTTGCTAACGTTCAATCGAGTCAGTTATGTGGCTGAGAATTCATAGGAAACTTATGGCCAAGGCAGGATAATTATGCACGTAAATCATGAGTATATATATATAATCAGTGTTCTCGTCACTGAGTGTCCAGTTGTTATTGGATACCAGTGGTATACTCGAAAGAATTATGAGACCTATCTTAGAAGATCAGAATAAAGTGCGCATGGTGAGTAGAAATTACTGTCACAGAAAAATTCACAACATGATTTTGTTTTTTTTTCATCAAAGGTATACCATAATATAACATATTCATTGACTACATGAACGTAAATATGACTGTTATTTCGGCCTACGATACGCTTAGTTGACATGACAACGTTGAGTATATTTCCACTCTTCAAGAATAATAATTTACAATACATAATTATATCGCAATTCTGGTAGATTAAGATCCTCTACTAGTTATTTCAGTGACGTAATAAGATAACCTAAACCGTTATATCTTTCAGTGGGGCAATAAGATAGATATATTTTAATATGCTCCGAAGAAATTAACATTGTAACACATTGAATCTGTTTATAGAATAGCAGCTATGACATTAGGACAAAAGGGATAGACTAAAAGCAAAAGTATCTAATCAAGTAATCAGAAAAGTCAATAAAGCTATGTCTTCTGAAAAGTTATCAAAAACTTTATTGTTCAATTCATTTTTGTATTGGTTGTTTGAGTCTTTCCAATGATGTTTAGGACTGCAATTGATCGGTCTATTATTTCCATATGTGCATTCTGTACGGATCGCTTCGTCATTCCCTTTATTCACAAGTATTGTAGGCAAAGATAGATAGTGGCCAGCAGTAGAATCCAGTTTGACGCACGTTTCGTCCTACTTGGGCCTTGGCAGCTGGATTTACCTACATCAGAGTTGGTGCTTATAATGCTTGTGGATTAAGGCAATATTGAGGCCATCCGTATAGGATTCACATACATCATTGAGACTGATCAAAAATCAATGGGAAGATTTAAACAAACAATACAAAAATGAATTGAAATTTGACCCCATTGCACAAGCTAGTGGCTATCTGGACTCATTAACTAAGTGGATAGAGCGATGGCGTTTGAAACGAACGTTACTGAACTTCAGTCCCGGCTTGAACGTCAACTCTGGGACTCATGTACATTCAGCTGACGAGTCCAAAATAGGATGAAACGCGCGTGATTGATTCCACTGCTAGCCACCATCAATCAAACTGTCACTTGATAAAAAAATTTAAAATTTGATTATTCAAAGATTAGTCTAACACTGATGTTTGACACATTCAACTGACAGGGAATCCTTATGAAATAAATATCACCTAAGCAGAATGAATATGACCATGTTAACCAATGACTTCTTTTACATATGCGTTTTACGTTTGTATTATATTTATATTATAAGATAGATCTTTTCAGAAATAATTTTGGCATAAACAATATTTAGGACTCTTGTCTTGATACGAACCAGCTGCTTAGTTCTTCTTGGTTTTCAATGATATACAAACTGAGATCAATCCATGATGAACGGTAACTACAGATTTAATGAGTCCATATAAAATACATTAGTTATGATCGTTAATGGATGAAAAGTATCTAAGGTTATTCACTGACCAATTCATTTAATGCTCAATGCTTTAAACAAGCTAAGTTAAGTATCTGTATTTTATTAAAGAACAGAAGAGAAATGGTTTATCACTACTGAAAATCCGTAGCTCAAAGGTTAACTCTATGGTATTTGAACTAATGTGTACCAGTTTAGTGATTTTACTAGGGTTGAAGCTATCACGAGTTCACTTAATCTGCTCGGTGACCAAAGACCAGTAAGTTAGCTATTGATGCGTCCCAGCCCTGCTGACTAGAGGGAGAAGTCCAAGCTTGGAATGGGAAAGTATATTCTGCAAACAACCAAAAACTAGCGATAACGACAAACACAATTCAAAACGTATATATACAGTACAAAACCGTCTTTGGGAAGAGTTACCAAATAGCATACTAAAAGACGAAACGGACCAATAGCATTTAAGATATGTTCCTCAGTGGGAAATACGACATGAAGGTGACAAGAGCGTCTTTGGTGCGAAAACAATGAAATTCAAGTTTTCTAAATAAAATTACAAAATTAGGTCCTTTTGCAAGTGGGTTTTGGGGATCTAACATCCCCAACAGATTTACTGTCAACGTATATCATATATTTGGTATAAAGGATTAATGGAGACTGTTGAATTTTATGGTTTACATCACAGACCAATTTTAACTGGACAACTATTAAAATCTATGAAGAGTTGGAAAGTTCTTTCCTTCTAGTTAAGGATTCCTCGACTGCAACTATATAAATCCTACCAGAGTTTGAAGCTTAAGATCAGTCAGTGATATCAACCATAAAATTTGACAATCTCCACAAACCCCTTATAGTAGGAACAGTTATGTACTCTCTAGTAACTAATTTAAAAACAATTCTTAGAGTTCAAGTTGGAAGCCGTAACTAGTGGGTTTCACTCATGTCCGGTATGAGATAATTACATGGAAACCGAATTGTAAGATGATTGCACAATATCAAAGATTTATTCACGTTAGACAACCAACTCACTAGTTTACTTGTTAAGCATTCATTGACCTAGAAAACGTTGTCAACTATATCACCCTTTTGTATAGTAAAACTCTTTCAATCTGTTAAGCAATAGTAAGAA